GGTGTTTAGGCTACAAATACTAATACAGAAGTGAGAAGCAGTTGAAAGACACATAGTGCCTCAGTCATACAGCAGAAAAAAACCACACTTTAAGTTCTTGTTTGTGGTTTTTTTTTGAACAGAACAAGTTTTGCTGCATTCAACATGACAGACAACTAGTCTTCATGTAATCTCTACATTCCCTGGGACCTCTTCTAGTGATGATTATCAAGACTATAATTTCCTATTCAAGCATGTCAACTCCTGTAATTAGTAGTTCCTGTTTGTAAATAAATACCATGAATACTATAATATCTAATTATAGAATCATGGAATAGTTGAGGTTGGAAGGGACCTCTGGAGAAGATATTGTCTAGACCACCCCCTCGAAGCAGGGTTACCTACAGCAGGTTGCTCAGGGCCAGTTGTATTTGAATATCTCCACAACCTCCTTGGGCAACCTGTTCCTGTGTCTGATCACCCCTGGAGTTAATAAATAAATAGATTTTAAATAAATAAATTATTTTACTTCATTTTGTGCCCACTGTCTCTTGTCTGTTCACTGGACACCATTGAGGAAAGCCTGGCTCCCTATTCTTTAGTTCCTCCACTAGGTATTTATCTACATTGATAACATCCCCCTGAGCCTTCTCTTCTCCAGGCTGAACAGCCCCAGCTCTCTCAGCCTTTCCTCAAAGGAGAGGTGTTCCAGTCCCTTAATCATCTTCTTGGCCCGTCCCCAGACTCTCACCATTGTAGCTAGGTCTCTCTTGTCCTGGGGAGACCAGGCCTGGACATATACTCCAGATGCATCTCACCAGTGCTGAGCAGAGTAGAATGATCGCTTCCTTGACGTCCTGGCAACACTCCTCCCAGTGCAGCCCAGGATACCACTGGCCTTCTTTGCAGCAAGAGGTCACTGCTGGCTCATGTTCAACTTGGTGCCCAGGTCCTTTTCTACCAAGCTGCTTTCCAGCCAGCTAGCCCCCAGCAGGTACTGGTGTATGGGGTTGTTCCTCCCAAGTGCAGGACCTTGCACTTCCCTTTATTGAACTTCACAAGACTCCTTCTGGCCTGTTTTTCCAGCCTGTTGAGATGTTGGATGGCAGCACACCCACACAGTCTATCAGCCACTCCTCCCAGCTTTGTGTCATCTGCAAACTTGATGAAGGTGCTCTGTGCTCCATCATTCAGTCATTAATGAAGACGCTAAGCACTATTGGTGACGGTGTCAACTTCTCAGGCACAACACTAATGACCAGCCTCCAACTGGACATCCCACTGACGATCACAACCCTTTGAACCTAGCAATTCAGCCACATTTCAATCCACCTCACTGTCCACTTATCTAGTCCATATTTCATCAGTTTGTCTAGAAGGATGTTATGGGACACAGCGTCTATACTTGCTGTACTTGACATAAACAACACCCTCAGCTCTCCCCTCACCCACCAAGGCAGTCATCTCATCATTGAAAGCTATCAGGTTGGTTAAGCATGATTCACCTTTCATAAAAACATGTTCATTACTCCCGGTCACCTTCTTCACTATGAGCTGATTTTCTTTTCTATCTATCAAATAGTTAATGTGCCATCTCCAGTCAGAGGTTACATTCCTGTGATTCAGATTTGGCACTCTAAGGGCATTCTATCTGGCAAAAGTGAGAAAAGTTGATCCAAATAAATAGAAACTGTGAATATGAAGTCAGTTCAACCATTGTGTGTTTTAATTTAATGTGGGACATCAAGTTAACAGAGTCAATGCATCGCTCAGTAGGGATGCATAACAGAAATACTAAGATGAGTCTGAAAGGAGTATGAATGGAAGTGTCTGGCACGCAAAAGCACCAGAAGAAACAATACAGAGAACAGGTTATGAGAACGGCATGTATTGATAAGCAAGGACACGAGTGACAGCAGTCAAACTGGCAAACAATGAGAAATGTCTTGCTATGTCTAGATCAGAAGGCCGGCACTCTGCACTCTGGTGAGGCTGTACTAGAAACAACCAGCCAGTCAGAGACCCACAGCAAAACTACACCATGTCACCTCTGCTAAAAGGAAAATAGGCTGAAAGCCACAAACCCATCCACAATGAGGAAGCAGAGACAAGGAACGGCAATGACAGGCTGAAGCAAGCAAGCTTCTGAGGGAAAGATCACACCATGAGAACTGTTTGACTCCTAAAGAATACAAAAACTTTGTCTAAAAGCCAGTTTATTGTCATTAATCAAGAGGAACCCAAGAGACATAGTAAGTACTTCATAGTCACTGTCCCTCATCCTCATCACACACAAGTGATCCTTGGTGTTGCTGAGCACATGGCTATCAATATGAGCGGCATCTATGACAGGAGTGCAAGTGAGTGAAAACAGATTCATTTAAAGTAATTACCACCCTCCCCTCCAGTAAGATCCTGTGCTGTGTTTTCTCATATTAACTTCCTGAAGTCTTTCACATTTCACTGTTTTAAATACACCACCTTAGGTTCAAGAGTTTTCCCTATGTAGATTAACTTTCCTGACTATGCTATTAAGCCTAACAAGAACGTTAACTAGAAGGCTCTAAGTTTCAGAACGCTCCTCTCCAGGGGCTTAGTTGTCCCTAGATTAACTATTAAAAGATTGTTCAGCACACAGTTTAGATCCCCTCCTATGTCTTATATCTGAATGAGGACTGAGTTGCATGCCCAGTGAGTTAGAAGAACCCAACTCCCAACGATACTCCTTAAAAGGGTGGGGTGTTACTAACACAGCAGAAGGTAACTTAAATTTACTTTTTCCCATCCCTGGAAACCCCAGGTCTCAGCCATTCCAATAATGCCTACTAGTCCTTGTGTACTGCAACACACAGGAGAGCATCTTGACTCCATGTCTGCTGTACTCATCTGTGCTTTTTTCTTACGGGCCAGAATCCAGAATGTGTGAAATCTTGCATAGGCAGTGGATTCACTGTCAAGTCCTTCAGCTACCTTCCCATTCACATTGATGAACGGTTCAGAATTTTATAATCGGCTTTTGAATGGCCCCATGTGCTGAACCCATACGAGAGACTATGCACCAACCATCTGCCTTAAACGCATTGCAAAATACTTTCCCAACAGAACATATTATATACATACATACCCAATACAAATAAAAACATTAATGAAAAATATCATCATGTGACACATAATACGTTACATAAGAAAATGAGGCCCAAGAAAACTGACAAGTATCTCTCCCCAAAAGTACCATGAGGACTTCTATTTTAACCTCTCATCAGAAAAAGACACACTGAGTAAACAATATAAATACAATTTTCTTGTACTTGGTAAGTTCTTAAATTACTCATTTTCAAGAACTGAGCAAAGGACTAAACACTAAATGTCAAACTGTAGTCTTTTACTCCCAAATACTCTCTTTTGGTAGCAGGGTTCAAATCTCAAGTCCAATTTTAATAAAACCTTTGCACAGATTTTCTTTTTTTTCTGGCTGGAATAAATATTAGTACAGCAAGCCCCACTCTTTCAAAGGAAAAGAGTTTTAACCAGTATGGAAAAATCCCTTGCTTAATAAACTGTGAAATTAAGCAGCACAAAAGCAGATTAATAACTATATTGAAAGACAGATAAAAAAGGTGGAGTGTTAGACGAGCATTCTTTCTGAGGGGATGTTCTCAGCCCATTATTGGGCCACACCATACACACATTTCCTATCAGTGCTCCCAGTCCGAGAAATAACAAAAGCACTTTTTTTCAAGTTCAAATGTTTAGCCCATCCATAGCTCTATGTATTTCAACAAAAAAAATCCCAGAAAAAATAGCAGACCTTTCAAACGACAGTTTTATGAATCTCTGTGGCCGCTTTTAACAGAAGATTTCCATCCTCAAAAACTTACAGTCAGGTTCCTCTAACTTGCCATCATTTGTTACAAGCCCAATACTTGTGCTCCAGACGTTCAAAGAAGCCTACCTTTTGTCAGCAAAGTCTTGGATAGGGTAGAATACAAAAAGCTATTCTGTCTTGGTAAGCTTGATATACAAACAAAACTAAGTTTCTATGCCAATTGTGTTTGTCGTGGTTTAACCCAGCAGGCAGCTAAACAGCACACAGCTGTTTGCTCACTCCCCCGCAGTGGGATGGGGGAGAGAATCAGAAAAAGGGTAAAACTTGTGGGTTGAGATAAAGACAATTTAATAGGACAGAAAAGGAAGGGAAAATAATAACAGTGATAAAAAGAATATCCAAAACAAGTGACACACAATGCAATTGCTCACCATCCACTGACCAATGCCCAGCAAGTTCCTGAGCAGTGGACGCACCCTCCCAGCCAAGTCCCTCCAGTTTTTGTTCAGCATGATGTCATATGGTATGGAATACCCCTTTAGCCAGCTGGGGTCAGCTGTCCTGGCTGTGTCCCCTCCCAGCTTCTTGTGCACATCCAGCCTCCTCACTGGCAGGACAGCATGAGAAGCTGAGTCCTTGACTGGTGTAAGCACTGCTCAGCAACAACTAAAACATCAGTAAGTTATCAACATTATTCTCATCCTAAATTCAAAACACAGCACTGTGCCAGCTACTAGGAAGAAAATTAACTCTATCCCAGCCGAAACCAGAATGCTATTATACAGCAGCACTCAGCCAATAAATAGCTCCTGGACGAAACAAGTAATACCTGACCTTTGGTTCCATGATTATCATACATTTGATTAATTGGTTTAGTGTAATCACTGTTTATAAATCACTTAATGAATTAGTGAGTTCTGATAATTCAGTTTGATTGATCATGCATCAGTTTTCTATTTTATATAATTTATTAGCTTGTACCAAAGCAGACAAAGAGGGAGAAGCTCAGACCTTTACTTTCTTTAACTATAAAGAGTGCGCATGTGTGTGTATAAATATACAAACATATATAAAAAGTAATAGACTAATGATTTCATTACTTTACTTTCCACACGCTACTGCCGTTCTTAACATTGCACCTTACTTTTCCTGTAAAAAGCCCAGGTGAATGAGAAGAAATGAAGACCATCCTTACCTTAATGTTGCAAGCTTGTTCCATAAGTCTTCTGGCGTTCTCTTCAGCTCTGTACCTCTTGGGCAACTGAACCCTGAAGAATTTTAAAGCTCCTTCAAAATCAGCTTGTAGAAGGTCCTCTTTTGAGGTCTGCAATTAAACACAGAGAACTACAGTAAACACTGAGAACAATGCAGTCATGCTCTTTTGCTCAATTTGTCATTCACTGAATGTATTCCAAACCACCAATATTCACATTAGCTCAAAAACATCCTCCTTGAAATCAGCTCTAATCCCTACCTCTTAAAACAAAAGAGAGGCTAGAGCATATCCAAGGAATCCCAGGCAAAGCAGCACAATCAGAAGACTGTAACACATCAATGTATTTTATCCTTCTATACCTGCAGGGTAAGAAAAGGATTCTGGCTCAGCCTGTCACGATGTCACTCAGTAAGGAGAGGAAAAAAAACTAAACAAGAAAACAACAAAAAACTAGGAGAATTTATAGTATTTTCTAGCGAGCTTGTGCATTAGACCATTGCTGGGTCTCATAATGCTGCCCTAAAAAAGACAATGTATATATAGATATATATGGTTGCAGACATGAACAGCAGAAGCAGAAATGCATATGACTCATAAGAGGCATCAGCAAGTCAATGTGCAGAAGTCTGTGACACAATTTCTCAAAGAACACTGTGCCAGAAAATGTTTTACATGCTTATTTCTTTATCTCTCATAATACAGTACCTCTCAGTGTGGTATCAAGCCTAACAGGTCAGAAAATGTTAAACATTCGACATTAATCCAGTTCTGCTACTAATGGAGTAATATGATTCACAGGGACAAATGTATTCATCTTCAGATATACTAATAAGTACACCAAGGAATTTAGCAGATATGAAAAACCAAGTCTTGGGATTGTTCCTTTAAAAGGTTGGCAGAAACTGTGTGTTCAGACAAGACATTGAGGACGTCATCTCAAAACCACAAATTTCAAGATCTTTAACCCAGAAAGAGTGAACAAAAATGTGTCTCTGTACAGACCAGTATCATGGAGACCAGCGCTGTGTATTGCAGTATAATTACTACAAATACCTCAAGAGCAGCACAGGTACCTTTGGTTAATTGCTGAATTAATTGCTCAAGTACCACTGCCAACATTTTCACGTGTCATCTTCCGCTTTCTCATGAGTAACGTCTTTTGTCATTTTTTGCCTCGTTATATGCAGTAGGTGTATTACATACACATAGTTTCAAAGTTTGATTCTTAACTATATTGCTATCCACTCAAAAGCCTTTGCTGTCTCCAATTTTGGACGGCTTTCCAAAAAACACACTTCAGCCAAACACAAGACAACAAACACAGGGAGAACTGGAAGAAACTCTGCAGCCTTTGACATGCATGAGGTGATGATGCTATTATTTCTCTTGGGTGTTCAATTAGTTTTAAATTAATAAAAATAAATACAATTTTCATTACAATGCAAAGATCTTACTTTTATTTACTTTTTCCCTATGCACCCTACAAACTAGCATCACTAGTTCATTTACATGAAAATAAATCTACTATGTAAAAGCCCTTCTTAAAAGTACAAAAATACTGTTTCCCAAAGCAAACTGAACTTGAATACGGTACTGCAGATACTTGTAGCCCGTAACAGTAATACTCAAACCCAGCTCAACACATTCCATGTTTCTGCTGAAAATGCTACAGCACTCTACCTGCAGGGTCTATCAAAAAAAGCAATTTATCCAAACTTTTATTTGGTGGGGGGAAGGGAGCAGGGTTTTTGAAGGGATTTAAAATTATGTATCAAACTTGGAAGAGCAACAGAAGGTAAGGGGGTGTTTTCATGGTTATCCAGTATCTTTGATAGCGGAGAGCATGTGCTGACATCAGAGGTGTGCCTGCTCTGTGCCCAGTCTCTCACTTTGGGAATGGGCATAGCAATATGCCCTTTGACTTCCTCAATCAAGAGCCAATAAGGACAAAATCTACATTGTGCATGTTAACCTACCACCCTACGTATTTTTGGAGGTTATTATACTGTATACCCAACAGCACTCCATAGTAAGAGTGAGAAAAAGCCAAATACAACTGGAGTAGCTTCAGTGGATCTGTTTCCCCATGACTGCTGCATTTTGAAGGCAGACAACTTTCTGTCATCAAAATCCTCAGAGTTCTCTCAAGAGCTATTTGATCTTCCCTTCCTTCACAGCCAAGGAAGCTGCTGGGTCATCACTGCAGGGACACAAGAAAAGCTGCCTTCAGGATGCTGATGAGAAATGTTCAGCTTTACAAACTATCACATCTCATTCTGTCCACAAAAAAATTGGCAGGAGGACTCTTTGGCTGAGACTCAATCAGACAAGACCGATGTAGTGTTGACTGAAAGCTGGTGCAGTTGGGTATCTAATGAATCAGACCCATTCCTGACTGCAGCTGTGGCCAACACATCCATTTCCTCTTCCTAACATCATATTTCTCCTGGTCAAGTTTTACTGAGGTTTTATGTGCTTTTACCACACTCAAGACTAGATCACCATTTTATATCCACAATGGGCTGTATTTAAGATTACCTGCAAGTTGTAGAGCGCAGTGGAAGCAGCCTGTGACATAGGCAAGCACACAGCACCGCTGCCAAAGCCCACGCTGGCAACCAAGCTGCTTCTGGACAAAGTTCAGCTGGGTCATGTTGATCGAAAAGCAGTAAATGGTTTGATAACCAGCTTACTTAAAAGTCATTTCTCTCCTTCCCTCTCAGTGATGCTGACAGCCATGATCACTATACAATTAAATAGATTTCTCTATTCCAATGCAAATTTGCCTTCTTTGGAGACAAGCTCTCCTGCATTTCCAGTCCTCACGCTGTGGCAGCCTCCTCCCATCCTCCTCTGAAACCCGTCCATGAACACAACTCTGACCCCAGGTGTAAAGGGACACCAGCCAACCTGTAAAACCCATTGTGCTGCTGTTCTTGGTTTTACTGGGAAGGTGCACAGATACTGCAGTGCTGAAAGACAGGGCAGTCTCCAAGACAGGCTGACTGGTACATGCTTCCATCCAACAAGAGTGGGAGGGTGTTTTCAGTTAAGACTTCTGGACAGTTGGTCCCAGCACAAAACAAACACCAAACGTACTTTTTGCCAAAGTTTTAGCATTTTATCAGGAGCTGAGCTACTCCAATTTTAAGCAAGTATTCTTACTAGAGGTTCTGGCTACACATTTGTATTTTAATTTTCTATTAATTTTTCTTAAATTAGCATAATGCAATGAGTGTTTTGGAATTTGTTTTAGAAATCAGAGGAGGAAAAACACTAAAAAAAATTTAATAATCAACAAAGAAATTGCCCTGCCAGACTTCAGAAAAGCAGACGCACCTACCCATCATGTCCATAGCACCAAAAAAGACAGAGGCAAATGTGTCAGAAAAACAGCAATTATAGGTAAAACATTTAAAATCAGATTGAATTCTACTAGGTGTCTGCTTGAATCCTTGTGATAATGTTTTAACAGCCCCCAAACAAATTGCTCTCATAACTATTGAGAATTTTGAGGTCTCAAGCCCGAAAAACTTTTAGTCAATGAAAATCCCATAAGAATAATAGTGAATCATGGAAATAAGAACTTATTTGACAGTTTGCTTAACTAAGATTATAGTTACAACAAAGTATAAACCATGACATTGTATAATTTGATAAAGTGAGTGGTAGCCTCTACTATCCAGCTCTTTCTACTTTGCTGAATATTTTAATTTCATTAAAATAATATGTTGATCAAAAAATTAGTTTCACTATTAAAATCACAAGAAATCAAAGTAACATTTTGAGGACAACATTATCCAGGTTGCATACTTTGTATATTTTCTGCAAACTAATCTCTTCTGGTACTGTTTAAAAACAGGAAGCAACATAAAACACGAGAGAGAGAGCACAGTACAAAAAAATAGCAATGTCGGCATCCTAAGATTCACATTTCTTGACATTTTGTGATTTTAATCAATAAATCATAAAGACATCTCAGGAACCTTTTGGCAGCTGTTTGACAGGCAGAGATTTGTAAATTCATTGGTTCGCATCACTCAGCTTGTGGAACTCATCAACAACTTATTTCACTAAACCATCTGTAAGTTTAATGAATCAATAATTAAAGTTTGGCAGAAGCATTGCATTTTGTGCACTCAGGGACTTCAGGGAATTTTTTTATTATTTTAGATGTAATTTTCAAATAATCATATTTTTGGTTAAAATGTATTTTTAAAACCAGGCAAAAGAGGAAATTCACTGAGAACTATGATCAAAACTCTCAGCTTGACTTTTAGGACTTCACTAAATATGTCCTCAATTGTTCTTCCCACATCACTTAGGTATTTCAATATATTCATAAAATTATCATATATGGATTAGTTGGAGCTAAGAGAAAGCCCTTTCCCATAAGTACTCGAGAAGCTTTCCAATCTAAAGGTAAAGTTCTGGAAAACTGCAAATGTTCAAAAAACAGAAACAGAATTTGAGAGACTTACTTAAATGATGTTAATTGTGATTATTTTTTTCAAGTAAATAATGTCACTACTGCTTTCCCCAAAATATTTAGGGAAATGTGATTAAGACAAAGGACAAAGCCTTGTTTTTTTTCTTTAATTTCTCTGTCTTCAGTTATTAATTCTGCAGTCTCATTTATTACTGACTATATCAACTACAACTCCTATTCCCACCTGGGAACTAATACAGTGGAAAAAATTTCAGATCAACCACATTGCACTTCTTTAATTTAATACTTCCTCTTTCATACAAAAATGACAAATTTCTATAGAATTGTATGTGTACCGTATATATATTTAGAATTTCTATAGAACATCAGTGAGCATAAACTGCCTTTTTTACACTTTAATGAACATGTGTCAGGATCAAGACCAATTTAAAGGCTGAAAAGAATCTGGCCACACTCTACACCACTATTTAATTTGCTACTGGGAAACTGAAAATGTTTGCAACTATCCTCACACTAATTTTTCAGAACATACTATTTAATCCCTAACATACACAGATGTGGTTTTAAGTTCTTTTAAGAAGATATGCAATGTAAAATCAAAGTATGTAAGCTATTTTTTCTAACCTGACGGTTCCTCTTCCACCGGCAGCAACAAGAC